TCAGGGGGGTTCCTGTGTCCCCCCCACCCACCCACCCCCACTCCCCGGGGGCTGCCAGGTGCTCCCTGGAGGGGAAATTAAAAAGGCAGCCTCTCCCTTTGTCTCTGAGATGTGCAGAGAGAGCCCTGCCAGCCTGCAGTTGGCAGACACCCCCACATGTACCAGCGGTGAACCTGCACCTTTCATATGCAAAGGACTCCGGCGCCCCTTGGGGCAGGGGGCTGTCTTCCCAGCCCTGATCTGATGCTGACTGAGTCACTCCCAGCCAAGCCACACACTCTCTCCCGGGTTCTGTGCAGCTTGTGCCCGGGTGCCCAGCCTGCCTGTTACCCTATCACAGACACTTGGCACTGGAAGCTCTGCCTGTTCGTGCCCTTAGTGACCCTCTCAGCTGGCGGCAGCAACCCACCACTTCTATATACCCACAGTTTTGTCTTTCTTCATGTTTAAGCCGTGGATAGTGCTAACACAGGCAGTTCTCCTGCTCATCAAGCCCTGGATTTCATCTGTAGCACCATAAAAAAATTCGTTTGTTCACAGATTGTGATAGCTGGCAGGTGGGCTTGGAGTCTGGGGATTTTAGTAGGCCTCATGGGTTTCTAAACTCAAAATGGGGTCCCTTGTTTTGCTTTTGTTTGGGTTTTGTTTTTTGTTTCGTTCTTGTTGTTTTTGTTTGGGTGCGGTGGCACCCCTGCTGGTGCTCAAGGGCCAGTCCCAGCTCAGTGTTTAGGAATCACTCAGTGCTAGGTACTGTGTAGCCCTGGGTGATGAAATCTGGGCTTCTTACATGCAAAGCATGTGTTCCAGTCTGTTAAGCTTTGTCTCCGGGGGGACTTTTGCAGACATTTTTTTTCTCACTGCAAATTAATACATGGTATGTATCCATATAGGTGTATGTTTTATATATGTGTTTATTAGAGGAATATATTTGTACATTTTATATGTGTGTTTATTGGAGGAATATATGGGGCCATAGTGATATAGTACAGTGGGAAAGGTATTTGCCTTGCACATAGCTGAGCCGGGTTTGATCCCGACCCGGGTTTGGTCCCGGCATCTCATAATGGCCCACTAAGCCCACCAGAACTATCCTTGAGCACAGACTTGAAATAAGGTAGCACTGTAGCACTGTCCTCTCATTGTTCATCGATTTGCTCGAGCAGGCCCAGTAACGTCTCCATTGTGAGACTTGTTGTTACTGTGTTTGGCATATCGAATACGTCACGGGGAGCTTGCCAGGCTTTGCCGTGCGGGCAAGATACTCTCGGTATAGCAAAAAATAAAAATAAAAAACTACAGTTAACCCCTGGCTTCTTCTCTGGCTTCTTCTCTCCTGCCCACTTCTCCGGCACACTTACTCAGCACTTGCTGTGTCCAGACGGACACTTGGCACCTGATGCTCTGCCAACCTGTGCCCTTAGTGTAATGAGCCTCTCACAGCATGCCCCACCTTTTTATATGCACACTGTAGTCTTTCTTCATATTTAAGACATGGAGAATATACCAACTTCTCACCCTGTCCTCCTCACTTCTGCCATGGAAATTTAAATATTTACCTCCAGAATCATCTGTAACAGCAGGGTAGATGTTTCATTATCAGACATTATTCATTATCAGACAATTTCATTTCATTGTCAGACTAGGATGCATGTACCCCTGGGGGAAGTCCCACCAGGTAAATGTAGCAAACATCCCACTTGAAACTTTAGCTTGGGGGGGGGGGGGAGAAAATCATTGTCTTCCTTTCAAAATGAGTATAGATAGACCCTCAGGCGCTGGTATGAACTTTGAAAACAGAAACAAACCCTACAACTGTATGAGCTCAGTGGATCCCTGGAGCTGGCAGAAGTATCTGAAAGGGGCTGCATTCAAGACCTCTACAAGATAGGGATGCTGAGACCTCCAAGAGAAGGGGAGTAGGGGCTGCCCCCAGGTACACAGCATGTGCCCTGGCAAATGTCAGTGTACCTCTTCCTCTCCGGGTGTCATCCATGGACTGCTCCTCTTGGCCCCCTTCTGTCATCCCTGGGCACAGCCCTGGGTTCTCCCCTCTGCTCTCGTGGGTGGGGAACATGCCACAGTAATCCACCTTCTGCTGATCCATCGATAGTGGAAACCCCTGGCTTCCTACATAACCAGCTCATAGCAGGCAGCCTTTCCTTTGCCCCTGGTGCTCCAGCATCTGAGCCACCTTCTTCATGAGACAGAAGCAGATCTGACCCTCATGGTCAGGGGCAGAGACCTCACCTAGCCCTCTAGATCCCACCAGCAAGCAGGTTTTCCCCCCCTGGAGAACTGTATCACAAGCTGTGTCCAGAGGCCTGCGTTTCTCAAAATACTGGGAATTCTGTGTCTGTTATTATCCTCTTGACATCTATTAAGTGACCTGATGCTAGGTGCCATGCTGGGCGTTTCATCTCTAGCAGCTGCAGATACTCCATCATGGCTTTGGAAAGCTCATGTGATTACCCCCACCTACCAGGTAAAAGCACCCAGGAAACCGTTATCACTTGCCCATCAGCGTCACTTGTGTGGTCACTGTCAGGATTTGTGTTCATGCCGTGGAGGTTCGTGATAAGCAAAACTGATACCACTCCCGGTACCACCCTTTTGAAGCCTATAGGTAATGCAGCCGGCACCATTGCCTGGCTGTGTTCAGACCCACTTTTTCACTTAATAGCCAGCCAATGGGGCCACTCTCAGAACCTCACTCCCCCATCCTACCCCTGCCCCATCTTTCTCTTCTGTAAAACAAGGGTAATAGCAACCATTAGACTTCAGGGGCTGGAGCAGTAGTACACCAGGTTGAGAGCTTGCCATGCACATAGTGGTCAGGGTTGAATCCTCAGCCTCCCATCTGGTCTCTTAAAGTCAGCCAAGGGTGAGTCCTGAGTACAGAGCCAGGAGTAACCCCTGAGGACTTCCAGGCCTGGTTCACAAAAACAAACAGAAAAAGATGCATTAGACGTCTTACTGGATGATAAAGATAAGAAGTATTAGGTCCTCTGAGGAGTGACTCCGAGGAGGGCCAGACCTCACCCATTCCAGGGCTGCTGCTGCTTCCGGTACCCTGAAAGAGAGTCATGCGCGTCATGACTTCTGGAGGGGAAAACCTACTTCAGGTGACATCTGATGGAGTTCCACGAGATAAATAGGAGTGAAACTGGCACAGTGTGGGGGTGCAGGGGGTGGGGAGCAGTGTGTTGGAGGAATGCTCCAGGCAGATGGCATAACATGTGACAGGAACGGGGTGGGGGAGAAAGGGGAGGTGAGCAGGGTGGGTAGGGATGACCTGAGGAATTGCAAGGTGCTTGGCTGGACCCCAACAGAGGGACACTGGGACAGGGTCAACCTCAGTGATGGAGTAACCTCTGTGAGGAATTCAGATGTCTGGGCTGGTCAGACATATACATGGAGGAAAGGTCTTTGCTGGGCACCCCACTGACCCTCATTTGACCCCCAGCACCATGTAGTCTCCTGGGCGCTACCAGGGGTCACTTAGGAGCACGAACCAGAAGTAGCCCCTATCAGTCGGTGTTGCCCCAGAACAAAACACACAGACAGAAAAACACAGCTTTCTGCAGCGCCAGGCCCTGCACACTGTTGATTCAGGCCCGGAGAGGCTTGCCAACATTTTTCAAGTGAGGCTGCAAGCATGCAGGCAGACAGCTGATGACACCGTGCGGCCTTGGCTGTAGGCGCTGTCATTGCTCGTCAGGAAAGGGGTGAAGAAATGTCCCAGGTGCACCATGGCAGACGTGGCCCATCACGGCTCTCTCCAAACTCTTCACCCACCATTGCTCCTTTTCTCAGCCAGGAGGGGTCCCTGCCGACTTAGGAACGTGTTCCCCTACGGAGCATTCCCCCCCCACAACCCGCAGCAGACGCTGGAACCCTTGCATCAGCCTGTCCCAAAGTGGGTGACCCCCTACCCACCCAGGCCACTGCCGGGATGAGGGTAGGGGGTGGTGGGCTATACCAGGGGGGGTGCCGGGTGCTCCAGGGGTCATTGTTCTGTTTGTTCACTGAAAGAAGGTCCCCGTTTGCATGGGGTACTTAGTAATTGTTTTGAAAGGGGGGCATTGGACCAGACACCTTTAGGAACTCCTGTGCCTTAGGCTACCACCGGGATCTTCAGCCTAAGTGGGGGTTCATCTGATGTTTTTTCCTAGCAGGCCCCTTTGTTGGAGGCGTCTTAGAGAAAAGCAGATCACAGGCAGTGACCAGACAAGCTTTCGGGGTTTGAGGTGCTGGCACAAGGCCGCGTCATTGCATAGCACCAAGAGCCCAGGAGGAGGCACAGCCAAGAAACCAGGGCAGAGTCCAACCCAGGTTTCCAGACCTGGAAATCGAGACCTGGAAATGGAGTGAATCAGTCAGGGGCTCTCCAGGAGCGACAGACTCTCAGAGCGGATCCCAAGGCCTCTGCCTGAGTTCCACCACACCAGGAGCCCTCCCTGCTGCCAGGGTGCCTGGCCCCTAGGCATGGAGGGCTTCGGGCAGGGACAGAGAACCTGGTGCAGCCCCCTCACCCTTCAGACTCGGGCACAGGAACAGCTGGGGGTGGGGGGGACATCCTGTGCCCTATCTGCCCTCCCCTGGCCCCCACCCCCATTTTCATTGGGGCTGAGGTGGGGGGTTTTTTTGGTTGTTGTTGTTTCCTTAAGAAATGGGAAAGAATAGAGCTGCGTAAACACGGGCGATGATGTTAACTCCCTGAAAAGCCTCCTGCCATTTTAACTCCGTTACTGGAGAAATAAAAGAGAAATAATTTGTCCACCCACACTGAGCTCTTTCTGACGAAGGTAGGTGAATATTGCTTTGCTAATCGAGGGTGACTGCTGGAAGGGGAGCCTCGCTGGCTGGCTGGTCCCACATTGAGAAGCTGCTGCTGCTGCCGCTGCCAGCCCAGAAGGAGCGGCTGGTCCCGGACCAGCAGGGCACCGCCCACCTACCCACCACCCACCCATCACCACCCTCGCCCATGTCCACGTCCACAGGTTTGCCCCAGCCGGTAGTGATGGAGGCGCCGGACCAGGCCAGGGGGCTCTCGGACGCCAACGACGCTGCCGCGCCCAGAGAGATGCCACCGCCCCCAGCTCCTTCTCCGCCCTCAGAGCCCGCTCAGAAGACACCACCTCCAGGCGCTGCCGGGAGCCACTCCCTCCCAGCGAGAGGCAGCCTGTGCCTGCTGGCGGCTTCCCAACTCCTGGTAAGGACAGCCCAGAGCCCAGGCGGGCCTCAGCCAGGGGGGGGTGGATAGGGGACAGCCCCCCCCCACTGCCAATCTTAGCTGGCCACCGGGGACCCCAAGGATGAAGGCCCTTCTGGGGGACCCACCAGCTTCTCAGGCCAGTGTGAGGAGAAGTCCAGGGCTTGGCGGGTGGAGCCCCTCACAGCATGGCTGTGCCACCGAACAGGCAAGGCAGGAACTCGGGAGGACCCCCATGGTCCTCAGTCCTGAGGGGTCCCCGCCACTTCGGAATGAGCTCCCCCACGGAGCATTCCCCACTCCCAGCAGATGCTGGAACCCTTGCACCAGCCTGTCCCAAAGTGGGTGATCCCCCTTACCCACCCAGGCCACCGCTGGGATGAGGGTGGGGGGGCGGTGGGCTGCACCGAGGAGGGTGCCGGGGGCTCCAGGGGTTGTTGTTCCGTTTGTTCACTGAAGGTCCTTCTAGAGTGGGGTATTTTCCAACAATGTCCTATCAACGAAGCGAGGGTGGGATATCCTCTGGGATATCCCCTTGGTATCCAGGCCCTGCTCCGGGCTCTCCTCTCAGTGCTCTAGGGGGCCAAGTTGAGGGGAAGGGGTGCTCGGTGGGGGCTCCAGGCTCACCGTGCTGCCCCCTGGTGGCCCCAGCTCGCTGGCGGGGTGCTCTGGCTCAGCGGCTATGGCCCAGACTGGACACAGAACGCCTCGGACCTCGCCTCCTCTTGGCTGGCACTGCTGAGACAGCTGGGACCCATGGTGAGCGGGGCCCCGGGGACCCCCAAGCAGGGGTTGATGGTGGGAGAGGGGGTCTCCAGTCCACCCACCCCCTCTCCCTGCTCCCACCCCACACCTGTTGTGCTGCCCGTGAGACCCCACGCACACACATGCCTGCACACAAACCCTGACCTGTCTGTCTCATACACCACCCCCTCCACCAGGCCTGGCTGGGCGTGGGATCCTGGGACGCCCCCCACCTGTTCCTGGCCTCCGTGACTGTGGTCCTCGTCTCCACCCTGGTAAGGTGCCCCCCTGTGCAGCCCCTCTGCCCTGAGACCTCCCCCACCCTGCTCCCACCAGCTGCCTTCCCTGCTAAGTGGGTTCCGGGCAGGGGGACTGGCTTCTGGCCACACCCGGGCCCAGCCTGGAGTCAATTCTCCTTCATTCTATTTTTTTTCCTTGGGGAGCGGGGGAGGATAGGGGCTGGGGCTCTACCCAGTAGTGCACAAGGGATCACGAGGGACCAGGGATGGAACTGGGGCTGGCCGCATGAAAGTCAAGTGCCTTCACCCCTGTGCTGTCTCTTTGGCCTGTCCTTTGAGAATTGGTAGGGGAGAGGGGCTGAGGCTGGGAGAAGCCCCCATTCCCCCCCAACCAGATGGCCTCCGTCCCCAGGGGAAGGGTGGGTGAGGGGGACTTGGGAGAGCCTGACTTTCAGGTGATGGAGGGGCCCAGGGCTTCGTCCCCCAAGCCCCCCATCATCTGTGGGGAGCGAGTGGGGCTGAGCCCTGGTCCATGCCCCCAACTAGGTGTGGCACCTGCTGAGGGGTCCTCCGGAGCCCCCCGCGCCCCTGCCCCCCGAGGACAGGAGGCCCTCTGTGAGCCGCCAGCCCTCCTTCACCTACTCGGAGTGGATGGAGGAGAAGGTGGAGGACGACTTCCTGGACCTGGACCCGGTCCCCGAGACGCCAGTGTTCGACTGTGTGATGGACATCAAGCCTGAGGCCGACCCTGCGTCACTGACCGTCAAGGCCATGGGTCTGCAGGAGAGGTGGGAGGCGTGGAGGAGGGGGGTGCTAGGCCCCCACACTCTTCACTAGGGACAGTGCCTGGGATGGGGCCGGCCATGCCTCTGAGCCTCGAGGACGCTTGGTCTTAGGGTTGGCACCTTGGATGGTCCCGAGGCAGAAGCCAGGGGATCCCGTCCCGTCTCGTGGGTGTGAGGGTGTGAGGCCCCTATGTGTGGATGCTCGTGTGTGTGTGTGTGTGTGTGTGTGTGTGTGTGTGTGTGCTGCAGCTGCAACTGGGCCTGGGCCCACGTCCACAGTGGAGCATAAGGTGGGTGGATGGGGGGGTCTCTCTCTGTCACTTGTCCCATGGGAGATGTGGCACCCTCTTCTCAGGGCCTTGCCGGGTAAGTCAGAGCACCCCAATTCTGAGTTATCCGTCCAAGGCACCCAAGGAGCACTGGACGAGGAGTCAGGAAACCCAGCTTTTTGCTCAGTGATGCCACTTCTTCGCGTGGGAGCTGGGGCGTGTTCTAAGTTTTGTCTTGTTTTGTTTCAAAACCACATCCCGCCTTCCTCAGGAGCTCTTCCTGGCACTGTGCTCAGGACTGAGGACCCCTGGCAGTGCCAGAGGATTCGAGCTGGGGTTGGCTGCAAGGCCAGCAAGCACCTGACCTGCTGTACCATCTCTCAGCCCACACAGGGGCGATGCGTCTTAGCATCTGCCTGGGATTCTGTTTCCTTTCCCGAATGAAGAAGAGCTTTCTTGTTATCTGTCATTAGATACTGGACGCAATGGAGCAAGCCTGTCCTTGCTGCCAGGGAGGCTGTGGGACTGTGCCATCCCTGGCAGCAGAAGGTCCTGTTCTCCCAGGACGGGCTCCTCATCCCCCACTGCTGGGCCCCGCAACCTGAGACCAAGAGTGAGGTCAAGTCTCTGCTCTGGCCAGATCCTGGGAGTTTCCCGGATCCTAGCAGCTGAGCACAGCTGCCTGCGGTGACAAAGAGAGACTGTGTCAAGGCTGCCTTGTCTGGAACCTTCATTTTGGTTTGCTTTGGTTTCATTTGGAGGCCACATGCGGTGGTGCTCAGGGCTTACTGCTGGCTCAGTCAGTGTTCAGGCTTTACTCCTGGCTCAGTGCTCAGGGATCACTCCTGGCAAGCCCAGGAGACCCAACGGTGTGCTAGGAGTCGAACCCAGGACGGGCAAGTGCAAGGAGAGCACCTTACCTGCTCTTTAGTCTCCCTTGGCTGGAATCTGTAGAACCGGGGTGCCAGGCCTCCTTCACAGTTGAAGGCAGGAGACCAGAGTGAGTCAGGCCAGGCCTCAGGTGGAGATATCGGCTCCATCTGCCCTGTCGGGGGTGCTGTCCCGTGCCCACCTCTGGGCATACTGTGTCCCCCCCATCTTCCTGCACCCCGGCCCCCCACGGATGCCCCGAGACTCACCCCCTCCCTTTCACATCATCCCTCCAGGAGGGGCTCCAACGTCTCCCTGACCCTGGACATGTGCACCCCCGGCTGCACGGAGGAAAGCTTCGGCTACCTCATGTCCCCGCGGGAGGAATCAGCACGCGAGTACCTGCTCAGCGCCTCGCGCGTGCTGCAGGCCGAGGAACTCCACGAGAAGGCCCTGGACCCCTTCCTGCTGCAGGCGGAGTTCTTCGTGAGTCCCCTCCCCCCACCCCCTTGGAGCCGGTGAGGGGTTCCTTTGCAGCCCGGGAGATGGTCGCCTGGACCACAGCACAGGCAGGCTGGCGGCCCTGCAACCTCCAGCTCCCTTTCCTCAACGGCAAAATAGGGATAGGAAGAATCAAGGTGTTGAGAGATGGACCGTGGACAGGGTGCCCGCCCCCCAGGAGGGTGGCTGGGTAGGGGTGCCCTGAGTCTGTCTTGCCTGGCACTGTGCAGAGAGCGCCCTGGGCTGCCCCCTCTCCTGCTGCCTGCCCCAATACATACACATGCAACACACACACGATATGCATGCACATGCATACACACACGCACACACACGCATGCACACATATGCACACACGCACATACCCAGCCCCTCATCTTTCCCTAGCTTAGGGGGCTCCTGTTTACTTCAGGTCTCAGTTACAGCCTCTGCCTGGGGCTTTTTTTTTTTTTTTTTTTGCTTTTTGGGTCACACCCAGCTATGCTCAGGGGTTACTCCTGGCTCATGCACTCAGGAATTATTCCTGGTGGTGCTTGGGGGACCATATAGGATGCTGAGAATCGAACCCAGGTTGGCTGTGTGCAAGGCAAACACCCTATCCGCTGTGCTATTGCTCCAGCCCCTCTGCCTGGGATGTTGGGGGACCCCGACCTATGGCCCTTATCCATGGAGGTGGCAACCCAGGAGTGCCCGCCTCGGGGCTGCACAGATTAAGAGCTAGGATGTAGGACATAGGGGATGGTCCACTCAACTCTATTTCTATTGATAAAGGGAAAGTTGGAAATGAAGCTTAGGTATTGGCAAGGGTGGGCTTCCTTCCCCAATCTGACACCCAGGATTAATAAACCCGCCCCTCCCAGGCAGTGCTGGCACATCATGGGCTCTGATGCCCCTGTGTTTCCTGGCAGGAGGCCCCAGAGGAGGAGGGGACGGGACTGTCCATTGGCCTCTTCTTTCTGGTCTCACTGACAGGGACCCCAGCCGCCTCTGTGGGCAAAATTGGGCCAGGGTGTTTGGGGAGAGTCTCTGGGGAGTGGGGAAGCCTAGTTCCCCCTACTGTCCCTCTTCCTAGGCCCCCTTCTCCCTTCCCTGCTCCCTTGTCTGACTTCCGGTGCCCTCTGACCCCTGCTCCAAATTCCCCAGAATGTGATGGGGTCTATGGGAAACACGGGCCACATTCCCCTAGGGGCAGACTGCCCCCTGCCTCTGGGCACTGTCCACCTCCAGCCAGGCCAGGCCGGGCCTTGCCCCTCTTGCACCTCCACTCACACCACCCCCAGCCCCACACATAGTTTGCCCCTAGTTCTGGGTGCCCCCTGCCCTGCAGCCCCAGAGCCAACCCGTCCCCAGGTCCTTGCCTCCCAGGTAGGATTGCCTTGTGCCCAGTGCCTGCATCCCACTCCATGGGCACGCACGTTGGTACAGTTTATTTTTTTCCTTCTGATTCTTTTAATAATCCTAACGGGTAAGTTTTGTGGGGTTGGTTTTTTTTGGAGGGTTTTGGTTTGTTTTTTTTTTTTTTTTTTTTTTGCTTTTTGGGTCATGTTGGCTGCGTGCAAGGCAAACGCCCTACTGCTGTGCTATCGCTCCAGCCCGGCGATGCACAGGGGTTACTCCTGGCGGTGCTCAGGGGACCATATGGAATGATGGGAATCGAATCAAACCCGGGTCGGCTGTGTGCAAGGCAAACACCATACCCACTGTGCTATCGCTCCAGCCCCTAGTTCTGTTTTTGGTATTTGTTTTTAACTTAAGTTGCCACGAATCACAGAGTCGTTCGTGATTTGGTTTCAGGCAAAACACATTCAAATACTAATCTCTTCACCAGTGTCCTCTTCCCCTTCACCAGTGTCCCCCATCTTCCTCCCACCCGCCACCTGCCTCTGTGACAGGTGATATAACTTTTTTTTCTCTTTTTGGGTCACACCTGGTGGTGCTCAGGGTTATCTCCTGGCTCTGCACTCAGGAATGACTCCTGGCGGTGCCCGGGGGACCATATGGGATGCTGGGAATCGAACCCAGGTTGGCTGCATACAAGGCAAACGCCCTACCTGCTGTGCTATCGCTCCAGCTCCCCTTTAAAAAAAATTATTATTATTTTATATATAACTTTAGGCACTGTGGTTTCCAGCACTGTTACTAGTAGTGCTTCCTGCTTGATGCTTTACCACCTGCCAGAACCCCCTCCTCTTCCCGGGGGGGCCTCTTTCCTCCCCCACTGCCTTAGTGCTCCCCTCCCTGTCCTATATCTACAACACACACACACAAACACACACACTACACACATACACATGCACTCACATACACATACACTTCCATCTTCCTTTCACAAAGCCTGGACTTGGTGCGGTGACACACAGTTGAGTTTGGAGTCAGGTGCCCCACTGCGTGGCCAGGTGGAAGGTGGGGATGAAGAGGCTTGGGGAGTTGTCCCAGAAGATACATGTGTGTGTGTGTGTGTGTGTGCATATGCGTGTGTGCATGTACATGTGCATGTGTGCATGAGTGTGTGTGTGCGCACGCGTGTATGTATGTGTGCATGTATGTGTTGGAGGGGAGGGGCAACTTTCCAGGCTGACAGCCCTGGGGAGTGGGACAGCACCAAAGCTCCCCGCCAGCAGCTCGATAAGAGCTCAGCCTCGGGCTGACCAGAGAGGTGCTCAGGAGTTGGTCAGAGGCTCAGCTAAGGTCTCTCCAAGTAGCTGGAGGAATCCAACAGCCAGATGCGGGGAGATCCCTGTTCCTGAATGCAGAGTGACTGGGGTGCTCCCCCCCAGTCCTGGAGTTCCACAAGGGGTTGCCTTTCCCCCTGGGGGAAGGGGCTCTAGTGAGGACAGGACAGCAAGAGAAGGGGGGAGGTAGACTTGGGGCCCGGCCAGCCCTGAGGGGGCCTGTGTAGGAGTCCAGGGCTATGTGGCAGAGGCAGAGGGGTGGGCATTGGCTACCACTCTTGTGTTTGTGTCTGCTCTGCTTGTCAACCTCTTACTGTCTGCTGTGGGCCAGGCTGTCATAGTATAATTAAGCACTGACAGAAGCTCCTTAAAAGACGTTTGGGTTTTTTTTTTTTTGGAGCTGTTAGGGGGATGACCAGGCTCAAGTGCTCCATCACTGAGCCTCATCCCCTATAAACTTCCGTTTTGTTTTTTGGGTCTACACCCAGCTATGCTCGTGGGTTTTTCCTGGCTCTTGCGCTCTGCGAGGCAAGCGCCCTACCCACTGTGCTGTCTCTTGAGCCCCCTAAAAAGCTTACATGAACTAAATCATTCGGGGGTGGGCACAGCCAGTTTTGCTCAAGGGCACTCTGAGCTCAGTGCTGAGGGGCTGCTCCTGGCTCAGGGGACCTGGCAAAGGTGAGGATCCATCCCAGGCCTCCCACCTGCAGACAGACTTGGCCCGGTGAGCTGTTTCTTGACCTGAACTCAGCCATGTGATGGTTCATTGCCTGCATGTGTGGACTCAAGCCAGCCTCTGGGACTAGAGCTTGGGGTCCTCACAGCCCCTGTTTGGGGGAGGCCACCCGGCAGCTGCTCACACCCATTTGTGTCCCCTGCAGGAAATCCCCATGAACTTCGTGGACCCCAAGGAATATGACATCCCTGGGCTGGTGCGGAAGAACCGGTACAAAACTATCCTTCCCAGTGAGTAGGACTCGCCATCCCCAGAGGGGCAACGTCTTCACCCTAAAGAAGACACAAACCCTAAAGGGGGCCTCCAGGGTCCCCAGGGGCACAGGGACCTGAGGAGGGAATGGGTGCTGGCAAACCTTTGTCCCCACACAGCTCCTCGGGGACCCTGGTTGTAGCCCAGTGTGGGGTGGACCCTGCGAGAACCCAGAGAGGAAGAGCAATGGGGACCGTTTGCTCCCAAGCAGTGTGGTGACAGAGAAGTGTTCTTGCCGCCTTTCTCTCTCCAGAGTGCGCAGGTTGTAAAAGGGCGAGGGGTGAAGACTCAAAGAGGTTAGAGGGTCCCCCCCCACTCCCTCCAGCAGCCTCCCTGCTGCCCTTCCCAGTTTCAAGTCAGGGCCTCTGGGACCCCAGGATTGGGAATGTTGGTCTCTCTGGGGCTGGGTGGTCCAAGGGAGAGCCTTCCCACAGGCAGAGCCCCCACAGGGAGAAAGAAATCCTCTTAGGGGCTCCAGGGAGCCTCCACAGGAAGCCCTGACTGTCCCCACCAAGGGAAGAGGGCTGACAGGCGGGTATACCAGATGACCAGATGTTCCTCTCAGCCTTGGAGCATCATATTCAGGTCATTTTCATCCTGCCCCTCACCCCCTCGCCCTTTGTCATTTTTGCAAAGGATTCGGCCCAGGCCCAGGGCTAGCTTGCGGGTGGGGTGGGGGCAGGGGGGAGGTGACTGGTATGAAACGAATCCCCCAAAAACCTATTCTGTTCCGTTTAAGGAGTAGCGAGGCTTTCAAAAAGCAGTTTTGCCATCAGCATCTCCAACAACATGTACGATGTCATGACTTATTTTTAACTTTTAAAATATCGACTTCTGGTTGCTATGGTTACACAGTCTCTAGGTAGTTCCGGTTAAACAAAGCACCATTTAAGGCCAGGATGCATTATTCAGGGCTGCTCACCTCTTTCCTCTCCTTACTCCCACCTGGAGGGGGGGCTCAGGTACCCCTCTCCAAAATCTCGAGCTTTACTGACCACTCGCAGAGACCCCCAGCAGGGGGGAGGCCTGGCCTTCCCTCTACCTGGCCCCACTGCACGGCTGACAGGTTTCACCTTCAACCAGATCCTGAGCCTCCAGACCCTCAGATGCAATGGGGAATGCAGGCTTGCTGTGTGCCTGGGTGGGGGAGTGGGGGTGGGGGAGAGGCCCTGAGAACCCGACCTCCCTGAGGCCCTGGCAGGTTTGCTGAGCCCCCACCCAGGAGCTGGGAAATCCCACAGAAAGGAGACGCACAGGGGACACAAATCCTGGGATCCCCACATACCCTCTACCCCACTCTGTCCCAGGCACGTAAGCAGACACTCTGCCCTGTATGCATGGGAGTCCCCTCTCTCCACTCACAGTCATGGGACCTCCGGGGAAGGAGCTTCCACACTGCCCTATTCCAAGGGCCACACTTACAGATGGTGTGGGCACAGTGCCCCCTAGGTAGCCTCTGGTCATCCACACCTCCTGCTTGGGCCCTGAAACCATCACCTGGTCAGTCCCTGCTACTTCTCCCTCCTGTCCCCCAAGCAGTGCAAAACAATTCCGAGGTCTCCTCCTCCTCTCTTCCTCTTCCTCCTCCTCCTCCTCCTCCTCCTCCTCCAACTCCACCTCTTCTTTCGCCTCCTCCTCCACTGCCACCACCACTGCCGCTGCCACCCCCTGAGATCCTGGGGGTTAGGACCTACCTGAGAAGCTTGGCCTATGGGACCATTCATGAAGACCTTTCCTCGCCGCACCACACCTTCTTCCAGCCCCCCACCCCCACCCCATCCCTGTCACCTACCCAGGCCACAGAGGGTCCCTGTTACCCCTGCACCCCTGCTCCTCGAAGACTCTAGAGGCCCACTTCAAAGTTTGTGTCTTCCGTCTGTCCATGGGTCGGCTGGAACAGTTAGGGGCCATGGTAGTAACCTCGAGGGGCACTTTCCCTTTGTTCACTTTTTAAAAGTTTAATTTTCAGGGAGGTGGGGGAAGAGTGAAGTCATTGGGAGTGACATCTTTCATTCTGAAAGGGGGATGAGAAGTCTCAGAAGTTTGGGGCCCTCTGGTCCAGAACTCCACAGTAACTGCGACAACACAAGTGCCCGCCAGGCATGGTGCCAACTGCTGAGGGTCGCCCACTCCCTCTTCACCAGCCGAGCGAGGCTTCCAGACAAGGCCCAGCGAGAGGAAGTGCTGGCGTCCAACTGAGGGGCCTGGAAGTGGGCTGGGAACACCTCCTGGGAAGGGCCTGGAGTTCAGCATCCCCTGTCACACCACAGAAGGAAGAGCAGCGAGCTGGTGATACACGCAGATGAGAATCCAGTGCCCTGGCCAAAGCTGAGCTGAGCCCACCTGCACCTCACTAGTCCACTCTACCCCTCATCCCCAGCACCGCAGCTTTCTTGCCCCAGCCCGGCCTGGGCAGGCTGGCAGCACCGTCAACACGGGGGCGCTTGCTGGAGCCAGCAGACAGGCCTCTGAGCAGCAGAACATGATGTTCTGGCCTCTTTGCCAGTGGTTTGGACGTACGAATTGGTGGGACTCGGCTTTGAGCACGTCCATCTGTGCTGCCAGGGCACAGACCTGAAAGACTGGATTCCTTTGTCCCTGGCGTCCGGCCCCCGGATCCGAACAGCCCTCGAGCCGCATGGTGCCCAGGGAGGACACGGGCAGGGCAAACAATGGCACTTGCTTTGCACATGGCCCGCCCTAGTTCATTCTCCAGTACCATATGAGGGTCCCCGGAGCCCCACCAGGAGTAGGCACTGAGTGCCACTACATATGGTCCAAAACCAATCCCCCCCCCCCTAAAAAAAAGCTTCCTGGCACTGCCTGGCCGTGAGCGTACACCCAGCAGTCCCAGAGAACCAGAGGCTCGGCCCTCTGCATGCCAGCAGTGGCATCGTCATTGACCCAGAACTCAGGACTTCCTGAGTTCTGCACTTTTGACCTGCTCCTTCCCAGAACACAAGGTGTCTTGAGTTTCCAGACCCGGCAGGGACCCTGGCAGGAAGCAGGCCCTGGACCCACACAGCAGAAGCTAGCACTCTCTCCTTCTCTTCTCCTACGCCTCGGCCACCTCCGGGGGACCGTGGGGATGCACCCACGTTGCACTATTGGGCCAGGTGAGGGAGGCCGTGTTGGGTTTGGAAAGCAGTGCATGGGCCCTGAAGTCACCTACGTCTCCCCCCACCCCAGATCCTCACAGCAGAGTCTGCCTGACCTCCCCAGACCCTGAAGACCCGCTGAGCTCCTACATCAATGCCAACTACATACGTGTGAGTGCGCCCACCTGGCTCTCCCTGCCAGACCCCCTGACCCCTCCTGGGAGGAGCCTGGATGCAGGGACCTATCCCTCCCCGCCCCACCCCCACCCCTTGCCCTGACAGTTGGGCCCTGGCTGTTTTCCACAGGGCTATGGTGGGTCGGAGAAGGTGTACATCGCCACACAGGGGCCCATCGTCAGCACCGTGGCCGACTTCTGGCGCATGGTGTGGCAGGAGCAGACGCCCATCATTGTGATGATCACCAACATCGAGGAGATGAACGAGGTGGGCACAGCAGCCTGGCCCCACCTGCTGCTCCAGCACCCCCCATCTTTTTGTGTGTGTGAGGGGGTGAGGGAGGGCCACATCCAGCTCTGCTCTCGGGGATCACTCCTGGTAGGACTTGGGGAATTCTATAGGGTGCTAGGGATTGAAGCTGTACACAACCACCCTGCTGTACTATCGCTCTGGCCCCCTGCCAGACATCTCTTTTTCTCTTTTTTTTTTTTTTTTTTTTTGGTTTTTGGGTCACACCCGGCGATGCACACTCAGGGTTACTACTGGCTCTGCACTCAGGAATTACTCCTGGCAGTGCTCAGGGGACCATATGAGATACTGGGAATCAAACCTGGGTCGGCTACGTGTAAGGCAAATGCCCTACTTGCTGTGCTGTCACTCCAGCCCCCCTGCCAGCCTTCTTGATGCCACGTTAATCCTTACAACCAATCTGAGAGGTTGGTCATATATGCTACAGGAAGTGAGAATTGGGTCATTCTGGGCGGGGGTGTGCAGGGGAGCAAGCGGCTGTTCAGGTTGTCTAGTGCCACACAGACAGTTCAGGGTAGGACCAGGAGCTGCTCTCCTGTCCCCATCATCTTTAGGGGCTATGGGGGGGGGGGGCAGAGGTGCTTGGGCAGTGAAATCGGGATGGCCACATGCAAGGCAGGAGACTTTTCCCCTCTACTCTCTCTCTCTGGCCCCAAGTGAACCTGATCTTTCAAACAGATGAGCCTGCTGGGGCTGATCCAGCTGCCTCCAGCCCCCCTGAATTGAATCCCTAGACAAGCCCCTCACATCCTCCAGATGAGGAACCAAGGAATCTGAGCACATTTGGATTCTGTCTCCCCGGGAGCCCTGGAGGGGGCACTGGGGAGAGCATAGTTGGGGTCAGGGAGCAGCAGCTCACGGCTGGATGTGGACCCCTACAGAAGTGCACCGAATACTGGCCCGAGGAGCAGGCAGCGTATGACGATGTGGAGGTCACGGTGCGCCAGGTCATCCACACGGAGGATTACCGGCTGCGGCTCATCTCACTCCGGGTGAGGCCTGGGGGCTGGACTTGGGGGGTCTTGGTGGGAGAGTGACGCACCACAATACTGTAGCTGAGATCAGCCCAGAACTCCCTGAGAAACAGGCATGAGGGAGGAATAAATGGACAGAGATAGCAGGACCCAACCTCCCCGGCATTTCATTCTTCTGAACTCTCTGTCAACACTGCCCTTCCTTAGGCCGCCAAGTTATGCTTGAAGTGTATCCAAAGTCAAAATTGTGGCTTTTAGCTGCCTCCAACACTGCCTTTGGAAGTGCGGATCAATTCCCAGGGAGCCTGAGACCCCCAGTGAGAAACATCCTGGCCTGATGTAGTGCCTGATCTGTCCACCAGGGGGCAGACAGTTCCTCCTGCATTTGGCACTGGGAGATTTGTGGTGACAGAAAGGAAAAAAAAATGGGTTGTGGAGGGTGGGGGGACCGATGCTGGAAGCTGGGGAGACCTACAAAAGATGAGCAGTGTAAAAAGCAGCGCAGAGGAGTGGGGGGAGGCACCCTTCCCCCCCTCCCGAAGTTGTGCTCCTTCCAGGCTCAGCATAACAGCAAAGACTGTTCCCTGGGATTCCAGAGAATCTTAATAAGGAACAGACGGTTCTTAAGATTCAAGAGAGCCTTAGAAATCAAGAAAACTATTTTTATATATGTATACATACATATGTATATATTTGGGTTTTGGACCACCCCCAGCGATGCTCACGGCTTACTCCTGGCTCTGCACTCGGGAATCACTCCTGGCATGATCAGGGGACCATATGAGGTGCCGGGGATCAAATCTGGGTCAGCCGTGTGCAAGGCAAAAACACCCACCCCAGTCACTGTACTATCGCTCCAGCCCCTATTTCATCATTTTGAAAGATGGTGAATTCCGTGTTTGGGAGAGGTTGGGTGGGGACGTGATAAAACCCCTTAAAGTCTAAAAGCGATCAGCTACCAGGGAACTTTCACCCTGTCCAGGGATGGCCTGTCTCCCTCTGCAAAGGCAGGATGGGCTCTCAGCAGTGCCCAGAGGGCAGTGACCACAAGCACAGCTCTGATGCAGGACAGAAAGAGCCAGGACATGGGGGTGGGGGTGGGGGGGGGAGAACAGCTTGGGTAGCTGCCACCAGTAACCCGGAGACCTGAGGAACCAGCTTCCAGTCTCTCCAGAAAGAGAAGTGGAGTTGAGGGCTTATCTCAGCGCCACAGGGCTGGTGAGAGAAGAATTGGGAAAGATGGAGTGGGGGGGAGGACATTTACTTCTGTCCCAAAACTTTTACAAGCACCTGCCCAGGGCCCTGGGTTGGGTGGTTGGGTACTGAAAACACAGAGCTGCTGCCCAGAGCCTTAATAAGGAACTTAATAAGTTCCTTACTAAGATAGAGCCTGCACTCTATCCTCCAGGAGCACCCGTGAAGCGGTAAGTATGAGCTAGACACCAGTAAGAACCCAGGAAAACCACTCTATGCCAGCTGGGGTGTTCAGGGAGGGCTGCCTGGAGTGGCAGTGCTATATTGGGGTTCTGAAGCATGAACAGGAGTTCATCCTCTTAGAGGCTCCAAGTGGAGAAAGCATCCCAGGCAGAGGGAAAGAAAAAAAAAGGGAGGGCCTGGAAGGCAGTACGGTTGGAAAGCTGGAAGAGGCAATGGGCTCTATCTATAAACCAGTTGGATAGTATGTGGGAGATGTTTACAAGAAACAGAAACGGGGTGCGGGGGGGGGGGGGAGGGGAGGAGCTGAGGGTGGAGGAACAGGGTTGGGGGAAACCTGGAGGAGGAGGGGGAGGGCAGGGTTCTGATGTGGGCCTGAAGGGGAGGGGCAGGACTAGGAGGGGAGCCTGGAGGGGAATTGCAAGGTTGGGGGACTGAAGGGGAGGGGCAGGGTTGGGGGGGGCTGAAGAGGAGGGGCAAATTTAGGAGGGGGCCCTGGAGAGGGAGGGCAGAGTTGGATGGGACGGGTCCTGGCGGGGAGGGGCGGGGCCTGCCGGGGGAGGGGCGGGGCTGGGCGGGGCCTGCCGGGATGGGTGGGGGGAGGCCCTGCACTGCACATCAGTGTTGCCAGGTGATGGCTTTTATCCACCCCCCCATCCCGACCCCCTCGGAAGGGTCCGCGCAGGGGCGCAGGGCCTGGACTGTGGGTCGGCAGGCCTTGTTGGCTGCCGTCGGAGGGATGCGGGTTGGAGAGCCGGGCGCGTCCAGGATACCCGGCGGCCGTGGTCGGGGTGGGGGGGGCTGCATGTCCTCCGTGGGGTCTGGGCCAGGTGTGGGGCACTCACCTGTTTGTTGCCGCGTCCTGTCTCCCGGCCAGAGCGGGACGGAGGAGCGGGGCCTGAAGCATTACTGGTTCACGTCCTGGCCCGACCAGAAGACCCCCGACCGGGCGCCCCCACTCCTGCACCTGGTGCGGGAGGTGGAGGAAGCCGCCCAGCAGGAGGGGCCCCGCTGCGCGCCCATCGTCGTCCACTGCAGGTGGGTCCTCCCTGGCCACCCCCCCCCCCCAGGGTCAGGAATCTGGTCTCCACGGCCCTCCCCCTTTTCCAGACGTCCCCCATCCCCGCTGTCCTCACCCACCCTGCCCTTCCTCCCAGCGCGGGCATCGGCAGGACGGGCTGCTTCATCGCCACCAGCATCTGCTGCCAGCAGCTCCGGCGGGAGGGCGTGGTGGACATCCTGAGGACCACGTGCCAGCTCCGGCAGGACAGGTGCGCCAAGGGCTGGGGCCCGCGGGGAGAGGGAGGAGGGAGGAGGAGCAGCCAGGCCCGGGGCCTGAGCAGTGGACACTGCACCTGCGTCCCTGCTGCTGCCTGGGCCAACCCCCCTCCCCCCTCCCACTTCACCTGCGTCTCTGCCCGCAGGGGCGGCATGATCCAGACCTGCGAACAGTACCAGTTCGTGCACCACGTCATGAGCCTCTACGAGAAGCAGCTGTCCCGCCCGACCCCGGAGTGACCCCCAGCTCCTCCGGGCATCCCCCCTCCGCCCCCGCCCCTTCTGCTTCCTTCCCTTTTGCGGGCGCCCTCCCTGCCCCCCACCACACACACACACACACACACACACACACACACACACACACAGCTTTTCCTTCTGTACATATCGGGGAGGGGAGCCAGGGCCGGGGAAAAGTGGTCCAGGTCACGTGGAGGCGGGGGGCGGGGGTCCCCAGGGCCTGCCCCACACCACACACACCTGGGACCTCCGGTTTTTCACGATGGTTCCGGCACTACTTGATCCAAACGTGTGAGTGCCGTGCTGCACCCCCGTGTCCTCCGCAGCCTGTTTTGTCCGTCCGTCCGTCCACCTCTGCCGTCTGAACCGGTCACTGTGTCTCCTGCCGCGCCCCTACCCCCTCCTCCCAGTGGGCAGCAGTGTTTGGTCCCCAGCTGTGGGTTCCAGGTGGGGAAGGGGGCGGGAGGGCCTTCCTCTGGAGGGCGCAGCAGGAAGGGGGTGACCCTGTGGGGCCTTGGGGAGCGGGAGCAGAGGGTCTTAGTGAGTCCAGGGGGCGCCCGGGCTGGGTCTGTGTGAAACCTGTTCCCGTCACTGCGCCCCCCCCCCCTCGCTGCGTGCCTGTCGCTCTGCGTGTCCTTGTGCCCACGCGTGTGCTGGGCGCTCTCAGCAAGGCCTGCATGCCTCTCGGCCACCTGTGTTCTCTTGGAGCCACGTGTTTTTATTGCTGACTTTAAATATTTACTCCACGGCAAACTGACATTGGGTGTCTTTTTTATAATTTGCTCGTGGTCACTGAATAGAGCAATAAACAGAGCATTTTGAGCAAAAGTACCCTCCGGAGTCTGGGTGATTTCCCCTTTGCTCTCCACTCCCCACCTTCCTGTACCTGTCGAGGCCCCTTTCCCTAGAACCACGTGCTTGCGCGCACACACACACGGACACATGCACATGCTATCTACACATGCATACGCGTGCATGTGTGCGCATATGCACACACGTACTTCTATATACATACATGCACCTGTGCACAAACATTCACACAAGTTACAGCACCTGGCCCTGGTGCTCCTTACTCCCCCTGGTGGACATTGGAGATAGAGGATGAATCCAAATTTGAAGTCAGGGTTTGGCAGGACAGTTCAGCACCCGCACCCCTCATTCAGCCAGGAGCCCTGGGCCAGAGGCACCTCAAAGCAGGTGAGAGACAGGTGTGCCTCATAGCTGGCAGAGTGGTTGGTAGGCCACCAGATTTCCACAGGTGGGCTTGAGACGCCAGAGCTGCAGCGGGAGACCTTCAGGTCGTACACACAGGCCTACTTACCCCCACAGCAGCTGCAGCCTAGAAGTTTCCATTGTAAGGGCTTGGGGGGAGGGGGAAGGTCCAGGGACTTGGCATATGGGTGCAGAGTTCCAGCCAACCCCAACCTTTATGCATGATTCTCCCCCAACCCAGGACACAGCGGCAAAACTGTGATGCTTCTTCTGCTGAAGGGCAGGGTCACCCCAAACAGGAGGGGGTCAGGAGAGAGCCACGGGGCATCAGCAGTCAGTTCCAGAGCCTATGCAGGTTGGTGAGGGTCCAGGCACCATGAAGATGTGCTCCAAAGGGAACAATAAAATGAGAGAGAGGGAGAGAGAGAGAGAGAGAGAGAGAGAGAGAGAGAGAGAGAGAGTGTGTGTGTACAGGGGTTAAGGTTTTTGCCTTGCATGTGGCTGAGCCTGGTTTGACCCCTAGCACTCCTTCCAGTCCCACTAGCACTGCCAGGAGTAATCCCTGAGCAGAGAGCCAGGAAGATGTCCTGAGCATAGTGGGGTGTGACCCAACACTCTCCCCCGCCGCCCCTCCAAAAAAAACAAGCTGGGATGGGGCAGGGCTTCCCTGCAAGATCCCTCAGACTGTGTAGGCATCACAAAGCCGCTTGATGCAGAGTGACACCTTTACAGACCCCCTCATCCCTCCTCTAAGAGCCTGTGGCTTTGTTTCCTGGTTCTTGATGAACCTGGTGCACATGTCCCCCTGAGTCCTCCCACCCAGCAGGGATCCCAACCCAGCAGGGAGAGCAAAACCTGGGCCACAAAGAAAAAGAAGCCTGCCTGCTGCCCGCCGTGTCCCCCGCCTCACTTCTGCCCTCCCCTACACAGACAGACAGGCAGACACACACACACACACACACACACACACAGCATGCATGCACACAGCATGGTACCCTCTAGCAGCTGCTGCTACAGAATCTGAGTAAGGGATGACCCCCAGGAGCCAGGAACTTAAGAAACTGGTAAATTCTTGTGGCCAAGGAAGACAGAGCACGGACACAGAGCCCAGACCCGCATGACGCTTCCAAAGGCCTGGGTGGAGCTGCAGGACTCTGAGGGCCTGCCACGTGGAGGGAGGAAGGCAGAGCCCGCTACCTGAGTCGAGAGGGGACAGCAGCTGGGCAGGGGTGGGGTCAGCACCCAGAATTCTTAGACACAGCCCAGGCAGAGTTCCACCAAGCAGGAGACACTTCCTACCACCTTGGGTGGAGCCGGGGAATCAAGGCTTTGGGGAATTCCAAAGGCGCTGTACTAAGAGTCTAGAAGGCCGCCATTCTTGGGGCTGGAGGGACAGGATGGAGAGAGTATGGCGTTTGCCTTGACGAGCCAGAACGATGGAACAGCAGGTAGGCCTTGCACACACGGCTGACCCAGGTTCAGTTCCCAGCCCCCCAGCTGGCCCCCCAAAGCCCTGTAAGGAGTGATTCCTGAGTGCAGAGCCAAGAGTAAGCCCTGCGCATGGCCTGGTGTGGGGAGACAGGACAAAATCACGTTCACATTTGCATGATGAAAATTCCATAAGGAAGGGCTGGAGTGATATAGCACAACAGGTAGGTAGGGCATTTGCCTTGCATGCGGCCGACGTGGGTTCGATTCCCAGCATCCCATATGGTTCCTCAAGCACTGCCAAGAGTAATTCCTGAGTGCGTAAGCCAGGAGTAACCCCTGTGCATTGCTGGGTGTGACCCAAAAAAGCAAAACAAAAACACAGTCCTCCCGTTATTCATCAGTTTGCTCAAGCAAGTCCAGTAACGTCTCCATTTTGAGACTTGTTGTTACTGTGTTTGGCATATTGAATCTGTCACGGGTAGCTTGCCAAGCTTTGCCGTGCGGGCGAGATACTCTCGGTAGCTTCCCGGGCTCTTCAAGAGGGGTGGAGAAATAGAACCCGGCTCGGCCGGGCTGGCTGTGCGCAAGGCAAACGCCCTACCACTGTGCTATCGCTCCAGCCCAAAAAGCAAACATAAATAAATAAATAAATAAAATTCCGTAAGGAGCCCAGACCAGTTCCCTGAGCCTTTTTAAAGATTTTTATGTTTCATTTTTTTAACCACGATTGAATTATGAAAATTCAAAATAGGAAGTTCTAAGAAATGAAAGTGTCTGGTTTTGCCACTTCCCAAGTGCAAAGTGGGAAACATGCAGTGGAAACGTGCCCTGCCATCTGTGCCTCTGTCAGGAAGCTCCTTCTGGGTCCGACTTTCCATCCTGTGCAGAAACACGGCACCCTGCACACACAGCACCCCCAGCTGCGCCTCTCGGCCCTTTCTCTGGGCTTGACTTGGCTCGCTGGGGATATCTAAGTCCTGCACCTTCCCCCTGCTAAGAACCTGCAATGATTTGGGGTTTCTCACTGTGGGGGAGAGGCTCATTGGTCTTGATCACTCCCCAGAGAAAGGAGAAGATGAAGAAGGCAAAGAGAAGCCAAGCCCCCACCTCTCCACACACGGTAACCACCCCCCTCCAGCCCCTGGCACTCAGCTGTCCCCCCCACCCCATACACACAGGAACATCTTCAAATCACCCTCCCACCTACCTCCTTCCCTGTCCTTCCTGGCCTCCTCATCTCCCTGGTGCTCCCAGGTGAGTGCCCACGCCTGCCGTCACCGTGACAACCATTCACCACAGCCCCAGAGTTCTCCAGCTCGGCTGCCACCCACATGCAGACCTTCTCCAAGACAACCAAGACTGTGGGAGGTGAGGAGAGTGGGGTGAGGCGGGGCGGGGGGAGTGGAGGGGAACCTTGGAAAGGCTCAGCCTTTCTTGCTCCACACCCACCCCGTGGGTGACCCGTCTTTGCTACTAGCAGGTCCCCCAGGAAGCTGAGGCAAATTCATGCTTTGACAAAGCGTCAGCCTGTCGATGTTCACGCCACCTCACTCCCCCAGATCAAATCTCCCAGGAAAGCAGCTGAGAGAAAGCCAATCCCAGGGATACACATCCTGATGGGTGAACCCTTCATTGCTGGAGATCAGAGTCACAGGCTGATGCGTGTATCTCCACTGGTAGCATCTCAGGCATTGAGGAAGTAGGGCGTCGGCGAGGGCCTTGTCTATCTGTTAGGAACGCCGGGCCCCAGCCATTGCGAAACGAGCCAGGGGCTAGAGGGTGAAACACAAACAAGTAACCCAGGCTTCCAGGCTTCCAGTGCTCAAGGTTGCCAGACTCGGAGGAGGGCAAATCTAAGGAAAAGCCGAGAAATGGTCTTTGAACACAACAGACTGCATCTGTCACGTCTCTGGAGGAAATAGTTTTAGAGGATGGCCAGGAACCAGGGCATTTGATCACAGTCCTCCCAGGCAGAGGGTCCAAACCTGACTCCTGACTGACCATTCCTGCTCAGTGAGGCCTCATCTTGATCATGAGATCAAAAGTTGCAACTCCAGTGATTTTTTTTTCTTTTTTCTTTTGGGCCATACCCAGGGTTCCTCCTGGCTCTGCAGTCAGGAATTACTCCTGGGGTTGCTCGGGGGGAACCATACGGGATGCTGAGAATTGACCCCTGGTTTGCCTCGTGCAAGGCAAACGCCTTCTCTGTTGTGTTATAGCCCCAGCCCCACTCCAGTGGTTCTTGCCTTCAGTTCCAGCTCACATGAGTCACCTGGGAGGAGAGGCGGCTGAGAATGAAAAGTCTCACCCCAGTCTGTTAAACCAAGTGTTTTTGTCCTTGTTGTTTTTGCATGTCCTCCAGAGCTACTAACGTGCTCTCAGAGTTGGAAACCAGTGATCCACGGGATCCAGGCAGGGAACACAAATGCAGAACCAAGACTGAGGTGAATAGGCCCCCTCTAACGGGAGCTCCTGCCTCCTTCACACTCGTACCGCCAGGCGGAAATAC